TTCATCTACGTTGCAACAACAACCATCGTAACTATTGGGGGTTTTCTTTGCTCATTTTTGAAAGAGTCAAAACCAGTTAATAACACTTCTACAGGATCGGAATGACAGATTCTTTCTTCCCAACAAAACAAAAACCAGCTAGCAACAACGCTAGGTCGAGATTGAGAAAAACGGTGAGGTATCAATTCCATGGTGGCAGATCGTCGGAAAAGATGATTTAGGTTCAGCTGTTTCAAAATGATCAAATTCACATGATTGTAATGAGAATCATCTTCTTCCAAGATCAAATCTAGAAAAGATGGTCAATCCATAAAAGATGAACATTCATCTGATATCTTATTACCATGGTGAACCAACGCAAGAAGCAAAAACAAGAAAACTTGACAAATTACTCGGAATAAATTCAAAGGAGAACATGAATTCGAAGGCAACAACACATCATAGTGTGCAAACGACCACTGAATCGATTTACTAGGTTCACCAGGGCCCAAGCTTGTCTTCATTGTTATCGAATCAAAAGCAAATACTAGAATCGTATGCACAACGATCAAACCTCAATGTGATGGACCCTGGTGAAAAGCGATACCATAGCCTTCACTTTCAATCATCTTCTAATGGTCTTAGAATCCCAGGATTCTGTTGGGTTCGATGATCAACCAGCTACCGTTCATGGTTATCAGATCAAGTCTTACATGAATCAAATGGAGTCATTAACCCCAAAATCACCATCATTTGGTTCTTTAGAAAAGTATAAATGGTCCGTATTCTTTAACGAAAGGCCTGCAAAACCAAACCCTGTGAGTGAACCAAACAAGGGAATGATATTGGAAGCTCTAAGACATCCTCAAACACGAGGAGGAGAATCAGAAAATGCATCAAAGGAAGCGCATGTAGAGAAAGAGAATTTGTTGAAGGTCGTTTTGAGACAGGCATCAGAGTTGCAGTTGTTTGCTTGCAAACAACAGGGAAGCAGGGAGATTTTTTCTGGAGGAAAAAGAAGAATGGGGAAGAAGAGAGAAAGGGGAGGAGACGAACTAAGAGAGAGAGAGAGAGAGAGAGGGTGGGACCCCTTGCATATTAAATTTTATTTATTTATTTATTTTAAAAAAAAGTAATACAAAACCTCATAAATGGTCCCTAGATAGTGAAATGACAAAAATGCCCCTTACTTAACGGTGAAATTCTAACGGAGTGAGCCGGAAGGACCAAATGTTAAAAGTTTTGAAACCACAGGGACCATCTGTGAGGTTTTTTGAACTTAGAGATTAAACTTGATATTTTCGAAAACCACAGGGACCATTTTTGAAGTTTTGTCTAGTAAATATAAACAAAACCATAAAATGATTACGTAAGTTATTTTTTTAATTTTTCTCCTTCTTTCCGTTCCAAACCCTTCATTAACAAACTCGAGAACATCGCGTTAGGCTCTTCTACAGAAAATTATAATCACACCTCCCCTGGGCTAACACACCTTTCACTTTCATGGCGATTGTGTTTTGTCCACCGTTACCAACCAGAGCCCTCTCTTGATCAAACCCAAACCCTAATTCCACAAATAAAAACTCCGCTCTGCATTGTTTACGGCGATTCCGGCGCTTAATTTCTTCTGTTCCCTCCATTTTGAGCCGTTGTGCAATGGAGGAGTTCGAGCCAAACCATCTAAAAACCCCGATGGTCTCTACAAGCACAAGGTTCTCTGATTTTTATCTCTTACTTTGTATTCCTTCAAGCTCCATCGTTGCTTATACGCTTTATCAATTTACATTGCTTTCACACTGCATTTGTTTGGTTCCCGGCGAAAAAAAATGTAGAGAAACAGAAAGATAACACAGTAGTTTCGACCCAATCCAGCCCTCTGCCCTCCTCATTTTTGCGGAACTTGCTTCACTCTTTACATTTCCCCTCTTTCCCAGTATGTATGTGAGACGCAGTACGGAAACATGGTATTAATTTTATAGCTATCAAAGTTCGAATATTGCATAAAATATTGAATATACCTGCCTAAAGCAGGAATATGTCTTAAGCCTAGGAAAGTTTAAAAGTTAGGACCTCCTTCCAGTTAAGCTGTCTGCTGTCTTACTGCATTGAATAAATAAAAAAATACTCATACGTCGAGCTTAACGGATTGTTGATTTTCTTATTCTATCCCTGATTACTCTCTGTTTTACCTTTAGTTTATAAAATGGTAAAACTAAGTATCACTGTATCCAACTGTCCATACCCTTTGTGGTTTTATTTATTTATTTTTGTAACAAATCTCATTTGTTTGCAGTACTAGCTTTTCAACTGGTCTACCATCCCCATGGTCTAAAGTGAACTATTTATCTTTAAGTTTTTTGTTTTTACATACCAAATTGATCTAAAATAATTTAAGTTTACTAATTTTGTTCTACAAGTAGGATACGATGTAGTTGACCTTTATCAGTAGATTCTTTTGTTACAAGTATATATGCTAAATAAATTCATTACGTTATTTGGGGGTAAGGTTTGGAAAATCAAGTTTTTTGGATAGTAGGGCTCAGTAATCATGTACGCATGCTAAAATTTATTACTTTTTTGTATCTGATATCATTTACTTTAATTGGTTGACATATCAAAATGTTCTAAAGCTTTGCCTTTGCGTACTTGAACTTTTATCAAGTGTTAATGGAGTTCACACCATGTTAGTTTATAAGATGGCTATACTAACACCTGTTTTCTCCAGGCACAAATGTGCAGCATGTTTTCAGCAGTTCAAGAAAAAAGAGAACCTTGTTGAACACATGAAAAAATCCTATCACTCAGTGCATCAACCTAAATGCGGTGTTTGTCATAAACACTGCAAATCATTCGAATCATTAAGGGAGCATATATCAGGTGTGATACTTTGAGGGTGTTTGGATGTGTGGTTTTAAATTGATTATTGTGATTCAAGAATCAGAACCCGAATTGAAATCACAGTCATTTGATTAAAGTGAGTGATAGTGGCCTTTGGTTCACTGAATTTGGAATTCAACTCCATTGCAATCCTGGTTTTTTGCAATGAGTATGAAACTGAATTCCATTTGAATTTACAAAATCCTTTGATCATTGATTTCAATGTCCCATTCCATGGAATTCAATTCCTCGCATTTACTCCTTTTTCAAAATACTCAAATACCCTTTTAACCTTAAGTTCAATAGCAAATGTTTCTCACTCACTAATTTTATTCCATTTTGTGCCAACCAAACTTGTGACAGAATTCAATTCCTTAGACAAATTCCAGTTTCTCCCAAAACATTTTTCGAACCAAACTCCCCCTTTTTAATCAGTTTTTTATGTGCTTCTTTTTTGTCCTACATAATTAAAATTATAATCATTTGCAAAACACTATGAAACTGTCAAATGGCAATAATCACTTTATCATCACATCTAAACACTCCTTTAACATAATCTATCCATTAAAATTATCATTCATATTTACATTTTTGTATGGATTATGTAGGTCCATTAGCCAAAGCTCACTGCTCAAGTATATTTGCACAAAATGGTTGCCACCTTTGTCTGAATGTCTTTGAAAGCCCTGTTTCTGTTGATGGGCACAAAGAGTTATGCCTCCAAACTGCCCCTCCCCCCCTCGTAAGTTGATGTGGAATAATCTTTTCGATGATGAGGGCATTAGCGTCTTTTGCACAAGCGTGAGATGGAGAGCAAGTCCATGTCCCATCTTTTTTGGTGGACAAGAAATGCAGTGTCATGACTCATGAGTCTCAGTTTCAATCTAATACACTGGACCTACATTTATTTTATTAATGTGTTGCAGGGGACAATGAATATTCCCTACACAGAATATGAAGCCTTAGAAGATGAAAACTACATGAGTAAATATCCTGAAGCAGTTGCTATCAACTGCCAAATGGTTGGGTGTGGTATCGATGGATCAGTTGATCTATTAGCTCGAGTTTGCCTTGTTGATGAAGAAGAGAATATGATATTCCACACATATGTGGAACCCCAACTATCTGTAACTGATTATAGGTACTTTTGTCTTCTGTGTTGCATCTTGTTCATTTTTCTTCTAGAATTCGACAACTGCATGTTTATGTGAAAATGGGTCAATTCAGGTTATATTTTCTCGATAACAGGTCAAATGGGTTAAACTAAAATATTTCGCTAAAAATGGAAACATGTCAAATGGTTTAAAAGTTTTACACTTTACAGCCTTCTAAGTTTTCATTATTTCATTTTAATAGTTGTCCTTGTAATTATATTTAACTTGTTAATTCTTTACAAATCAGTTTCGGTTTTAGTGAAACTGGTTCATAAAGTTGATGTTTACATGAATTGTGATATAGATATGAAGTAACGGGCATAAAAGAAGAGCACTTAAAAAGAGATGGTATGCCGGTTAAGGAAGTGAGAGAAAAGATTTCTCAAATTTTGTACAATGGAGAATCAATAGGAAAAGCGCGCTTGGATGGCGGAAAAGCTAAACTTCTTGTGGGCCATAACCTGGACCATGCCTTGGATTGCTTGTTAATGAATTATCCCGAGAATTTGTTAAGGTTTTCTATTTTCCATTTTTTCTCTTATCAAGTTTTTCTAATATGAAACATGTATTCAGTTATAGCATTGTACTTCAGTTTCTGTCTTTTTTTTGAAAAATCTACCGAATCATAGCAATGAAGATTGCTTTGAATATGAATGGCATTCCTATAATTGGGTAGATTTGTCCAAAGTACAAAATGTTGTAATAAGAAGAAATGAAAGCAAATTAATGGAAGTACGTTGCTATTTCTTGCATCTAACACTTTACATTTACCTTAAAAGATCAGTATTGTTGTAGCAACACGCCAATTCCTTGTTTTTTATAAAATCTAATTATTTCGGCTTTTGATGGTCAAAAAATCTGAATCAGATTTGCCAACACTACAAAACTGATTTTATTTATTTATTTTTGCTTAGAGGCTAGCAGCAGATGCCCCCAACTTTTGTAGTTAATAGTTTTTTTTTTTTTTTTATTAATTTAGTAGGAGTATAAAATAATACCCCTCCTCCCACTCCAAAAAAAAAAAGAAAAAAGAAAAAACTTGTAGCGTATCTATAAATATATGTTGTATTGAATATTGATTTTGGTGAACCATATGGTTATACATTGAGCATGTTTTTGTTCAAATGCTGTGTTTTTCTGTGTGTAGGGATACTGCAACATATCGTCCACTACTTAAAACTAATTTCATGAGCCACTCTCTCAAGTACCTCACCAAGACATATCTAGGGTAAGTTGCTTGATTTGGTTTTTTTTTTTTTTTTTTTTTTTGCCTTTTATGAATAATCTTAACACGAATCATGAGTTTTAGCGTACTTAATTTTGTTTTATCTTATCCACTTCTACTCATGTCACCCAAATATGGAAAATTTTATATTGATCTTGAGCGCTTTTATAGAAAATGGTTTCTAGATTACAAAATGTTCCATCA